TTTTCTACAAGTAAGATGTATCACTCTGTAGCTCAAGAGCGGAGCGCACAACACATAGGGTGAAAAGAGGAGCTGCAGCAATGTGAGAAAAATATGGTGTTTTTTGAAAATTAAATCATGTAAACCTGTTCTGGTACAACCCCTAATTAAGATTTTGAACCTGAAAAAGAGCATAATACCACCTCTTTAAGTTAAGTATTTGCTTAAAAGGGATTTTATAAAGTGTAATGGCACTCTGCCTGCTTTTATGCCTGCAATGCTTTCAGAAACATTTTGGGGAACTATCCTCTGTCACTAGAGGAGAAAGAGAAGATTAATTTTGAAGTGATCAAAATAATGAGGACATGGACACAAAGAAAGAGAAGATTAATTTTGAAGTGATCAAAATAATGAGGACATGGACACAAAGAACCAAAATATGGCTACAATTTTGAGTGATTGGCTTTGCATCTTTGACAAGAGGAGTTGAGGTTGTTGTTAGACCTGGTAAATCCACAGATGTCTCCATATAAAGAAACTTTGGGCACCACAAGAAACTTAAGGGAAAACTGGAGAAACTGAGCTGTGCTGCAGGAAACGTGCATACAGCTAGAATGTGGATGCATCAATAGAAGGATGAATAAAGTAGAATCGTTTTTGTACCTCTAATTGTTCTGAGTAAATACTTTCCATTTAGGTTAGGATGTGTATAGACTCAGAAATGTAACATTATATCAGAGTTAGGGATTATGCAACAAGCCAAGGAGCAGCCAGCCAGTTGAGTCTTATTTCCTCTCCGATCTACAAAAATAAATCCTAATATATCTTTTCCATGTGCTTTACGAAGTTTCAGTTATTTGCTCATTTGGAAATGCTTTCACTGACGCACGCAGACGGACTTGCAGTCCTGTGGGCAGTGAGCTCATGGAGGCGTGTCTCAGAAACCAGCCAGAAGCAGAGGCAGTCGGATAAAAAAGAGGCAGACAATAAAATTAAAATCCAACTATGATGCCATGGAGATCTGGAAGGTATTTACACATCTTAACACTTTACCAAGTCCATCAACAAGGAGTGAAAAGACAGCTAAAGTTAACATTATGTTTAATTATACCTTCCTGTTAAAAGAGCATAGGTAACTACAGGTGGGGCGAGTTAAGCCCTTTAGGGACACTCAAATGTATTTCTGTGTCTATTTTTATGGCACAAGTTTCTGTTTTCTGGTGACCATATAAAACACAATTAAATCTCATTTCCAAAAGGACAACAATGCAAAATGTGTCTCAGTTCACACTCAGCCTTAGGACTAATTTATAGGAAAGCCGCAGACTTATTACCATGTACGTATACAAATCCTGACATTTTAACTGATCAAATCAGCTCCAGGATGCCATTATGTTTACAAACCTTTAATAAAATACAGTTGAAAGTAACATTTTCACTCACAACCTTTCCTAATGGCCAGTGTTAATAGCCAGATAATATAGACATATACAAATACTGTTTTAAAAGGCAACACAGGTTACAAAAAGTCCTTATCTGTGCCAAAGTATGAAGCAAAATTTGAAGAATTATTTGAAATGTCATCACTTTAAGAGAAACTTGGGCGAGGGGGAGATGATGATGGTTTTTTGTCTTTAATTCCTCTTGAGAATGCATTCTGTCTATGCTGTAAGACATAAGTGAATCTGAACCACAGACATGATATGTTTCATTTTAAATACCAAGACCAAAGACAAACAACATTTGCAGTAAAAAAAAAAAAGATAATTAAAAAAGGTCCCTTAACACTGGTGCAGGTAAATTCAGCTTGAAATCATTGAAGTCCTTCTAAATCTTATTATACTGGTTCCAGTTAGTGCTTTGAACAGTAACAACAAACACAAACTGTAAAGTAATGCGCATGTGCATTACTCTGGCCCAAACTTAACTTCCGGCTGACTTTTGGAAACAATAACAAGTAAATTATGTTAGCTAGTGACTGTAGTTAAAGCTATGTCTAGCCAGTAGTGTTTGGAGTTGCCTGTCGAACAAAAGAACCACTACTTGGCTCTCTAGTGACCAGCCATTTGGGATATTGCCTGTCTTTTGTGAAATTTTATATATATATATATATATATATATATATATATATATATATACACACACACACACACACACACACACACACTCTCTCTCTCTCACTCTGTTAAGCGCCAACTGCATAAATACCACAAATGTTTCACAACATTACACTCAATTTCCAATCACTTCTTTGGTTTACAGCAAAATGTTTGGTATCTTTTGCAGCGCTGATGCTAAATATCGCCCAGAGGCCTGCAACCATTCTGGAAAAATTATACCACCGATATTAAAGGCACAATCCATTACATAAATTTAAAGGAAAGGGTAAACAACTAGAAAGATTTAAAATCGAAATAGAACCTGCAATTACTGCCAAAAGTGTTTCAGAGACTAAAACTGAAAACAGCTACTTTATTTCTAAGCTATTAATGTTTTTGATGCTGTAAAATATTTGTCTACAACAGTAATGTTTCTAAAGATCTGATGTAAAACAGGCCCATACTTTCAGTCGTGATCACCGAGAAACACACCAAATGCTATAATAATTCATTATCTGAATAAAATTGGTATTTAAAGGGCCAAATACTTACAGACTTTAACAAAACCCTTTTTGACATCCTAAATTGAGTTTTAAATTGAGTCCAAGACCAATCCTTCGAGTTCATCTTAAGAACTTCTTGACTGAGGTAGAACTTTAAATTTAAACAATTGGTAAAAGGATGATTTACTCATTTTAATACTGTGGTAATGATGACAAGTGTAAAACTACATTGAAAATGTGGGTAATACTGCAACTGAACTGTACTTTGGCTCCTTCGTAAGTTATGGAAAAAGCTCTAACTTGGCATATTTTAAGAGAGGATTATATAATCAAGGTTTCCCCTGAGAGCATCTTGGCTGAAAAGGTGCAGCAGTAAACGGGTCATCCAGAGCTCTTCCCCCTATGGTCCAGGCATGCAGGGGCCCCACAGCTACAGAACCTACAGCGGCCTGCTGACCGATCCTGGAGACGACTCGGTGCACCGCCACCGGCTGCTGGAGCAGAGGCGCCTCCATGTGCAGGGGAGGGGCCCGAACACCAAGAGAATGAGGAGCAGGAGGAGATGATACTGGGACCAGGTGACACCGTTTGATGGGTTGGATCTGCTTTGCGCAAGACTTAAACATGTGCGTGTCACTAGGACCAGCTTTGGTGGTTTCCTGCCTCTTTCCAAACGGTGCCTGGAGGAAAACATCAGACGTCTCAGCAGGTTTATGAGATGCAGAAAAGGAGTAGCCGCTGCATGCCATCTTGCTTTCTTTTGCTGGCGTTTTAAAAGGTGCCAGCTGGAAGACATCAGAGGAGACTGGGTTGTTTTGGGGCTGGAACTGGGACACTCGGTTGACAAAAAGCAGGCTGGTGGAAGAAGCTGGAAGTGTATGCTGTTGTAAGCTCCTCTCATCTGATGGCAACATGTGTTTATCATAGACGCATGCAGCAGTCTTCTGCTGGATGCTCAGCCTTTGATTCTCCTCAGTAAACTGCAGAGAGGCCACAGTCTCAGCAGCTCGCAGTACATTACTGCTGAGCTCCCTCTGCAGGTCTGCATGTGGAAAAGATTGGAGAGCAGTCAGAAATGATGATACATGCTTAAAAGCTTTGCTGACCTCTGAATCTCGAGCATGTTATAAAAATATAATAGTTTGCTATCTGTGATATTAAACATGACAGAAAGAAATTAGGGGATGTTAATTGTATTCCTTACAAGTCCACTGAGTTTTAGTCGTCAGCTGTGTTTCGCTGCCATATTTGTTTTGTGTTCTTGTGCTAATTTGGAGTTCTGGTGAGCTACAAACATTTTTTCACTCCAGTGAACAATAAAGCTGCATTCAATTCTGTGTAATTCTATGTACAATCGTTCTCAAGTGGATCAAAACACAATGACATAAACTGGTCAATAGAAGTGACAAAATCACAGTAAAATGGCAAAGATGCAATATATTCCTGTGTTCTTTAAATGGCATGTCTTGCTTGTGATCAGCAAGTTGTATGAAAAACAGCCCAACCTATACTCAGTTTTTGAGGCATATCGATCCATCGTTATTGGATTTTTTTTAAACCCTGAAATATCTATGTATTATACATTTTTGAACATAAACACAACAAGCACTTTTGATAAAGACCTTTTGAATTTGGTTATTAGAGAGTTAGTGTCACACTGCATGAGGCAAATGGTAGTACCGACTGGTTTCCGGACCCTCCCCGGACCCCCCCAGTACAGTGAAAGTTTTTGAGTGGCCTTTTATTGTGGCCAGCCTAAGGCACACCTGTGCAATACCCATGCTGTTTGATCAGCATCTTCATATGCCACACCTGTGAGGTGGATGGATTATCTCAGCAAAGGAGAAGTGCTCACTAACAATATTTGAGAGAAATTGGCCTTTTGTGTACATAGAGAAAAAATTCTTTGAGTTGAGCTCAAAGAATGGGGGCAAAAACAAAAGTGTTGCATTTATAATTTTGTTCAGTGTAGAAATGATTCTAACCCACTCTGCAGCAGGTGTATTACTGACTCTTTACTCAACTCTGTTTAGGCAAGTAAAAAAATTGAAGGTAACGCCTTAGTCACAAAAATCTAAAAAAACAAACAAACATGGAATGTTTTTAATGGGGCATGGAGTTGAAGTCTGGTCTTAACAATTAAAGGAGTACTCTTATTTTACATTACACTCCTATACTTTTCTCAGATTCCCTACAGAGTTTAGGAAAAACAGGATAAAAATCAATGGTGCCTACATTACCCACAATGCAACTTAACCACCAACTGTTGGGTCTTTGTGTAAATGTTTAAAAGTTATTTAAAATGTCAAATATGACTGCTCAAGTTACTGATTATGATTGATGATGATTATGATGAACATTATGACGTAAATTATAATGAACAACAGTAAAACAGAATATCTTAATCAATACTCAACACTTTGACATTCACATTTGTATTTTATTTGCCATTCCTTAATAATTCTTTAATCATCTCACAAAAATAGAAGGAGCACACGATACCACAGCTCTGACGCAGGTTTGGGTCATAAACACAAGAGGCGTCTCAAAACACTCAAATAGTATCATAATCGACAGCTTGCATTTTTGGCAAAACAACAGAGAAAATGAGGGGCTTCTGTTTCACATCAAGGACTAATCTCACTATACCTGCTTGGCTTTATAGATTACAACAGCACATTGGCGGCTACAGGGAGAAAGCTCGGGAGTTGCATAGGTTCAAACAGTAACTGCAAATGATTGAGTTGTTGAGTGGAAGGATCATAAAGAGGATGATAAAATAACATAAGCCTTCAGTTGCACATGCAGCACCTACAGTAAATAGACCTAGGAGACTGTTGCCACTTTTGCAAATTTATTTAAAAGATAAAAATATATAATTTAAAATTTAGAATCAGGAGCTCTGCTCAAAATACCAACTCAATTATGGGGGTTAACGAATAAATTGGTGAAAGGACAGAAATTAAGAGGTTTGAACACATTATCATGGATTTCCTGAACTTTAATCATCAAAGAACATGTGAATAGGTCACTAACTGTGCTCCATGCTTTGCCACTATTCTCAGGTTCTAAATATAAAGATTCTGTTTGAGGTGATTTATTTTATACTGTTGCCTTGACTTCAGTCATTCAAAAGGTAACTACATTTTATTCTGTAATACAAGTATGTATGTGGAACATATCCAACTAGCATGTGTTAACCCATTCAGGTTTGTGCAAAAGCATTAAAACCAAAATATAATTCTGAATTAATTTCCCACCTCCAGAAAGGAGTCGATCTCACAAAAATAGTTATTTGAAATCACTTTTTAACATAACAGAATGAAAGAAAGAGGTGGAGGTAGTCTTCCGACTGTGATCATGCATGGGAAGCAAAATGAATTTGTTTGATCCTACAGAAACATTTGTATTGCTGATTGGAGCTGATTTTTCAAACCCTGACTTAATGCTGCCTGATAACTTAAACCACTGCTATAGTACAGCAGCAGTGTTGTATAATCCACTGTAACACTGGCAGATTAAACCTTTTCACACTTCACAGAGCCCCTCACACATTACCTATCAGGCAAATATTCTTCACTATAATATGGAGGCGAACAGTGAGACTAGTGAGCAGTAAGCCAATACGTATCCAACTCTCAGAGCGAGTGATGTAGCTCTGACTTCCTGAGAGAATATAAGAGTGGAGGAGGGAGGCTGTGCTTTCAGAAGAGATTTTAAGGACAACGTGACCGTCGCCATATTTACAGCAAACAACAACACAAGTAGGCTACCGGAAAAAGACATCCAACAATTCTGACTCCACACACACACACACACACACACACACACACACACACACACACACACACACACACACACACACACACACACACACACACACACACACACACACACACACACACACACGAACATAACATTCAACAACACTGCCATGCTTTTTGATATGAACTCTGTGATCACTAAAACCGGTAAAGCAAAAAACCAAAGCTTTACAAAGCACAATTTCAGAAAAAGTTCTAGTTTAGCGGTGAAATGAAACAGGACTAAGATTCAAAGAGGTTAATCTCCCGCTTTCCAGAAAACTGCCAACTGTTTTAAATAAAAATATAATCCTTCATTGGTCCATGTAAACAATCATAACTAGGGCTCACTTTCTTTTCACAAAGGAAGAGAATGGGACATGGGATTCAGCCTAATCTCCAAGTTCAACAAAGACTAGGATTATCATCTATACATTTGAGTGTACTGACAATAATTGAGTAGATATAGCCAAGAAAAAAAAACTTTCTCAAACACACAATTCCACAAGGAGGAATGGAATATTTATATAGGAGTATTCCTCAACATTATTCAGTGATTATGGTGTTAAGAATCATAGATATTTTTTTATTATAGACTAATATTTATTTCTTACATTCATTCTCTAACACTCGATTCATATTAACATTTATTAACAGGTAAACAATTCCATTTTTCATTCACACACTAATATATATATATATATATATATATATATGATTTCACAAGTAAAGCAATATGTTTTCCACAAGTAAAGCTTTATGACAATGACTTAATATATACACGGGAAGAATAACCAATTGTATGGTCTGGATAAGAGCCTGCAGGGGTTGCAGATATATATTTACATAAATTAGGAGTAAACAAATGATAGGAATGTAGGAAAAATTGCACAATGCTTAGTGAATGTTTGTGTTGATATAAAATAAAATATATATTTTTTTAAATGCCATTTTAGACTGTTTCTGTTCAAAAAAATGACCTGAACAGTTGAATAGATTAATGGTCTCTCTCTATATAATAGCTACTGTATTTCTATTACTGTGGATTATTCAAATTATTTTCATGATTTCATGCATTTTGTATTGATATGGCACACTGCTACAAACATTGTTATATGACCCTGATTTGTCATTTAATTCAACAACAACCTACTGCTTGCTTTAAGGGTTAAAATAGATTTTTTAAAATAACAGCAAATAAGAACGGGTCCTCCTCGTTTGAAAAGTACAACGTGTCTGAGAGACCTTGAATGGTCAACATTATTGTTGTTTTCTTATATGTAGATTTTAGCTGATACACTTTCAGAGCTTCACCTGTCAGAAGTTTGCTTCACAGATTTTTAAATTATTTTTTATTTTTTTTAAATGGCCCTTCACCGTTTAGTCAGGAACCTTTAGTGTCACTGCTCTTCTCTTCATCATGGTAACTTGTTGTATGTAGGGTGCGTGGTTATGGCTGTTTTGTTTCCAGATTGTAACTCAATTTGATGTCACTCTTCAGTCTAATCTAATAGCAGCTTTAAATTGTTAAAGATGTTCTATCCAACAGCCCTGATGGAGATAACATTTATGCTACTGTGCAAATCAGGCTACATGAAGAAGTTTCCCTTTTATAGAAGAAGTAAACTGACCTCATTTGAACAAATGGCCATTTAACTTTTCCATGGTTTTACTTTAAAATGTGCAAATAAATCTGGGGAGGAGACTTTAAAAGGCAAACGACGAAATTCACTTGTGCACCATAATAACTACAACCACTTATAACTATGCCTAGAGTACATTACAACAATGACCTTCTATTGTTTGCTATTAGACATAATACAATATTGTTCAAACAAACGGCATAGCAATATTTTATCCTGATTGACAGAAAGATGTAATGGTAACTATTAAAAAAGGATGATGTTAGTGTACTGGCCACTCTTGGACCAATGGACAGCACATGATGTGTAGAGACAACAACAAAGAGAAAATGTGAGTGAGAGGGTGAGAGATGAGATGCGAACAGAAGCCAGATAATGCAATCGATACAGCGGAGAGGGCAGGAATGAAGAAGCATTGAGAGGTGAAGGCTGTTTCTACTGTAGGAGCTAGAATGGAAATGACAGACGGGAGTTGCAGGAAGCTAGCTGTGACAACAGTGTTGATCGCCGTTATGCTATGCCAGTCTATAATCCAGCGTTACAGCTTCTACGGGGAAGGGGGGTGGGGACGCCTACAAGTCGATGAGCTGGTCCACCAGCAGCATGGAGCGGGCCAAGCTGGGCAGGCTGGATTCAGAGCCGCCACTGTTACTGCGCGAGTGGCCTCCTGAAACTGGCCGGAGAGACAAGGGGAGGGAAAGGCATACAAATACAGGCAAACGGGGGAGGGAAGCAGAGAAGCAGGAATCACAACAAGCAAACACAGCAGTCGGGGGGGGGGGGGGGGGGGGGGGGGGGGGGGGGCAGAGAAGGGCAGAGAGGGCAGAGAAGAGACCCATTTACTTCTAGTAGTTTTAAAACATTCGTAACTAAAAGTGCAGGCGCTTGATCCTGTTATCAGTAGGTTTGACAATTTAAGTCATTATTTAGCAAACCAGCATGCAACTGAGGGGAACCCCATAAATAGCCAACCCCTTGGTCTTTGATCCTGAAGACCATCTTGACCCACCTGTGCTTCCTTGTCGGGAATGCAAAGACTTACCTTGGGAGTTCTTTCGGCCTGTGACAGGAATAGGATCGAACTCGTCCTCTGTGGCGGCCTCTGCGTTGGCTTGCTGCGGCTCAAAGTCTGAGATCAGGAGAGACGAGTCTGCAGAGGATAAAGTAAAAGTGGGTTGTTGATGTAAAATTAAGGAATGTTTTAGATGAAAGGGTGAAAAGATAAGAAAAAAGGATTATTGTTTTTATTAGTGCATTGCAGAGTAGATGCTTCTTTCATATGTGGGGCAACAATGATTAGACTAACAATGGCTTTTCCTCAATACCTTACTTGCCACAATAAAAAAAGTGTTCATAAAATCTGAAGCTACTGAAAAAAGAAAAGAAAAAAGTGGTACAAAACCTGTTTGATAAGATATTATGAGGAGAGATCAGTAGTAATTAGGATCACACAGCTGGTTTACACAGTCAGGCTGTGATTCAGAGTTGGCACTGTCAACAGCAATCAAATGCCTTCGTTCAACAGCCAAGAACCACCAACTGAACCACAGCTGTGGAGCTCTTTATTTGGGACACACAATATACGACTTGAGAGATTATTCTTTACTCAACTTCATTCACGTGAAACAGATAACATATTTAAGCAAGACCATTGATATACTGCACAAAGGAAAACCCCTTGTGGAGAATGGATCAAGTTTAGAATTTGATTTACTTGCCTTTAATTTAATTTCTTTATAAGGACAAATGCAACATAGTCTGTCAACCCGGGATGGAAACGCTTCTGCTGCCACCCAGTGAAAACTTCAGTGTGCTGCGCAAAATGTCAGTAAAGTTACATTGCTCTGTGACAATACTAACATCACCAGCACAAGAAGTTGGAAAGATGATGTAGTTTATCAGGGCTCCTTGCACCGAGTTTGTTTCGAAGTTGTTTTCTACCCTCTTTGCTGACAATAACTTAAAGGCCATCTGAAGATAAATTGCACGTTTCCAGCTTAGAATGCCGCTATGTACCAGTCTACGTAAATAGAGACCTTATATTGATACAGAAAATCAAATCTTTGCAGAAAGTAGTAACGTCAACGTTCTATCATAGACAGAGCAGATGGTCACACCGACCCAGACAGCAGCCTGCTACACAAGAGCCCACATTAGCTTTCCTGCTAAAGTCTCCTGAACAAACATGCACACACGTCTTGTCCTGCACCATAGTTTGCTGAACGAGCCACCAAATAAACATCCCACTAATGTTTGATATTCAAGCTGAATTTTTTATAGCATAAGCAGCCATAAAAGAACTTTGGCTAAAGAGCAAAATACAGCCAAAAGTGTAAGTAAACAAGAAAAAGCATTTGACAAGCATTTTGGACTTTAATATTTAAAAAATGCTACGGTACGGAAACGCTTCTGTTACTCATTAAAAAGATTACCCACATGCATGTAGAAGTTTTTAGGTTATTCCAGCTTACCTGCTTTAGGCTGTGCTGAGTCTCCAGACAACAGACTGAAATCATCCAAAGCAGAGGCAGCGGAGGTGGGAGCAGAGGAGATGGAGGAGGTGGCACTGCTTGCTGCCTGAGGGACGGACGGACCGGAGATCAGAGAGCCCAGGAGAGAGTCGTCTGCAGTGAGAGGCTCTGTGATGGGTTAGGGTAAGCCAAAGGTAGACGGAAAAGAGGGTAAAGTTTAGTTATGGTTCAAGTACAAAGAGGAAAAGGACACATTATTCTAAGATCTGCAGTGATTCTAATATACATGCACTAACCTTCAGGTTCCTTCTACTGGTAATAATGCTGAAACATTTTTATCCAGAATAATTAATGCTAAAGGCAATAATTAATGCTAAAGGCAGATAAATAACCTTCTCTCCATTTATTAATAAAACATATAAAGAATAATAAACCTCGTGTAAATCAAGAAGTTCAGGAAATGAAACAAAATGAAAATAAATTGAAACACGCCTGCTTGGAGCAGACACACCTTTTGCAGACTCTTCCACAGAGCCACCAAAGGGATCAGACAATGACAAGAGGTCAGGAAGCATGAGTGAAGACGTGTCAGGAGATTTTAGTCCTTCAATCAGCTTCTCTAAAGGCCAATGAAGAATCAGAAACGATAAAGAAGACAAAAGTGACCAAAATACAATAACATTATCAGCTGCAACAAAAAAATTAATTGCCCAAAGAAAACACTACCAGTACAGGTTTTATTATTTATTAAATTTACTAAGGATAAATTAGGACAATCAACATACTGTTTTTCAGGTATTGGAGGATTTATGAAATAACATAGTTTCTGGATTTCATTCTTAAAGTCAAAGGCTTTTCATGAATTATCTATTCAGATAATTGTATTCATAGTCATGTATGTGGACGATCTAAATTTTACCACTACTAAAAAACAAAAAAACAAACAAACAAACATGCAAATGTGTATTTGTGTGTACAGTATGGATCCAAAGAGAGAGGGAGAGATTTACCTGACAGTTCGAGGGTACAGAAAGGATCTGGGACAACTAACAGTGAGGCTCCTGAATCCACATCAATAATGGTTGATGGTCTTTCAACTAGGAAACAGAAGCAGTGTTTTACAGCAAAGGTTTACAATTCATTATGAAGCCTAAAATGCAATGGTATTACCTAATACAGTATATGAGCAAATCATTTCTTAAACATTTCTTTCTTGTTAAAAGGAAAAAATCAGTGGCTGCATTTTCTGGGTACAGCAGTAGTACTGCCTGAACTCTTTACATTAACACCATTAGAGTAACTTTTATTTCTTTCATTCTGACCAAACACTTAATTTTATTTATGAGATGCACATAGGCAGCACTTGGTTTTCAAGCTTCTTAAAGCTTTCAAATTAATGGATCACGTGCATTAAGAGGTTTACCTCTTGGCTTGACATTATATTCCTTCAGACGTGTGCGGTACAATGCATTATCTGGCATCAGCACACCAGTGAGGTAGCGGGCAGTGGGGAACAACTTATAATGATATTTTTAGTGTAAATCACCGTCTGAGCTACCTTACCAAAGAAAGAAAGAAATCTTTATATTAGCTTTGTTTTGACATCCACAGACTTGCATGCTAACTTGTGCTATTGTCTGACAGTTGACAGGAATGATGTCCTTATAACCATCACCAAGCACACAATTGCGGGGGACAGGGGGGTGTTAAACCCACTCCAGAAACACACTATATGCTCACTGAACTCCCTCTGCTTCATTTTGCTCAAGTTTTGGTCGTTCTATATCCTCCTCGAGCACAGATCTCTGATACACAAGTTGATCACTCACAGCTCTACTTCACAGGTAAAACACAGTCTGTTTAAAAGTGACGTAGAATGCTCATTTTCAGGTTCATACTTGCATTTAGGGTTTCTACTAGAAAATGTTTTCATGTTCAAAAAACACATGTTTTTCATCCTGTCCACTTCTTCAGCACGTTTTCACACTCCGTTTTAGCTCCCGTCTCTTTAAGCCCCACCGCCTCCCACCTCCCTGAAAGCCCACTTGCTTCTGATTGGCCCACTTCCCCAAGCGGGGTGGGGCTTAGCTGCACCTCACTAAATCAAGGCCTGTTGTGTGAGACTAGCCCTCGCTGATTATTGTACAAAAACACAACTTTATTCCGGCTGCTCTCCCTCCACTTTTGCCAACTTTATGCGTTACTGGTTACTTTAGCAGCAACCACGGCTAACAGCAGCTGCTACTAAGTTAGCTGCTGAGTTAGCCATGCAGCTAGCTCCAGGGGTGTGTTGATATTTACACCTCTAACATTAGTACATAAGCTTTGGAACGCTGGTTCCGAGCCAACTGATAACAGGAGCTAGTGGTTAGCAACCTGTAGCGTAGAACATTCAAAACAATTTATGATAAAATCTTTGCTAACAAGTATGCATGAGTAAAATTAAGTAAAAAGCTTTTTTCAGTCCTTTCTCTTCAAAAAAAGAAAAATCTTAATAAAAAAAAAAATGAAGTCCTAATTTGTGTATGATTCAAGTGAACATTTATTGAACCTTTAATATATTGTTATTGAAAAAAATTATATTGCAATAATTATTGTTATTGTTTTATTGTCCAGCCCTACAACAAGTAAAGCTATCTATCCACTGGGAAACTTCATAAATCACAAATTTGAGGCAGAGCACAAAACTAGGAAATATTTACCTTTCCTTCATAACCGTAAAAGCATTTTCTGTAGACACACTGCACAACCTACAAGTCTAGCTCTATGAGCTCATATGACTGCTAACTCTGGAATGTGGGCTGGTCTATGTGACATTTGGGGCGTAAACATCCCAGATGTTACATAACGTCTAGCCCTTGTTGGCATTCGCTTGTTTTTTGGGGGTATTTTGGGTGCGTGAGATTTATATATGAATGGGGAAACAATGGAAATTGGCTTATGGTATGTCAGTTACATGCACTCAACACTTTTTATTCAACTACGCCAAGGGAAATAAAGTTTTCCATTCCATGGCATCTTTAAATAGAAGCACCAAACATGTTAAATATAAGCCAGCGGGTTGCTGCTGTTGTTAATGGACATGTCTTGTCTGATGTTTTTAAACAGGGTGGAGACAATTTACTTGACTTCTGACAGCTGGGTCTGTAGTTGATGTGTCACTGAAATGTGCCGCTATTAACCAACCGGGTTATCATGAGTTGTCAAACGCACATGCATGCAAATTGTCCATGATGCAAGGTGCTTCTAGACCCTCATTTCCTGCTTTCATTAATTGCAATATTTTTAAATTTGTTATGGCAGTCTGAACTGTGTAAGGACAACTAAAAGGGTCTGTGGAGTTTCATGGGCCCAGGTATATGCTGAAGAAAAAGAAGAAGAAATGCCATGGTGATACATACCATTTTCTTGCGGTGTATTGTCCATGGTTGAGGCCTGCAGGCCTGGTATCAACTCCTCACAGGATGTTGACTCAGGTTCTATAGGTAGGTCTGGAAAAACAGAACTCCTGGTTATCAAGAGTTCATCACATTTTTAAAATACGACACACATACATATGCACACAATCTTTACCAGTAGGCTTTCTGTCCTCAGTTTTGAATTCCTCTGCAGTGAGGTTGGAGAAGTTGTCATCGTCAAATGGGTTCCACGCAGGCTGTGTAGGGGTGTTGGTGGCACCGGCAGACACAAGAACAGCGGGTCCAGCTTTGCTTTGGTCCTGGCCTGCGTCACAAACACCGAGCTGAACTGGCTGTGTGGTGCCTGGTGGAGATGTAAGTGATCTACGGGTAAAAAAATACACAACGAATCATTAATAAAACAAACAGTAGAAGACTAGAATTTGAACTATTGGTCAGGTTTGTTCCAGTACACATGCCACTTACTGGTTGAGGGCAGCATCTCCATTAGGTCCTTGTGGCTGCTGTGAGGAGTCACTCGCTGGGACTCCAGCAACGCTGCTCGCTGTGGCATCACTCGGTATGTGTTGGTGGCTTTGTTCTTCAGTTGTCTTTGGAGAAGCAGGTGGAGTCTGATCAAAATAGGCATGGAGTGAAAATAAGTAACACATAAGATCAAGAAATATTTCCTGGAAGATCTCACAAATCGCAGAGTGTCAAATCTGTTGAAATGTGTTGACAAGTCATGCTATTAAGTTTTCCTTTCATTCAGTCACATTGTTTATTGGCAAAAAGTCTCAGACCAAAGACACAGACAAGTTAGGATGTAACAAACAGGCATAGTGAATATTATTACAGTATATTTCATACATAATTAGATATGGAGACACATGATAGAGCAAGAGAACACCAAGCCACGCCACACAAGTCTTATGGAAAAATAAAATGGAAGGATACATAATTCATTCTGACAGTGATGATGATGAAGATGAGCAGACACAGTTTGAAGCTGGATGGTGAGCAGAAGGCCTCTTACTGTCTCAGCTGCCTTTTGGCTGATCTCATTGAAGGCGGGCTGAGCCTGAGCAGCTGACGGCTGAGTTATCTGCTGCTGCTGAGATCCAGGCGGCTGACCAGAGGCCGGTCTGCTGGGTGAAGGCTGAGCAGCTGGCTGCGGAGCCTGGCCGGCCTGCTTGCGTCGAGCTGGTCGTTGAGGTGGGGCAGGGCTCGATGGAGTCTGAGCCTGCTGGGAGGTGGCGCTGACCGTAGAGGGAGGTGTGGTCTGTTGGTGAACTACTGGCTGCGCTTGTGGTTGGACGTCAGCCTTGGTCACTGGTGACACGACTGCTGCTGCTGTTGTGGACTCTGCGGCCGACTGCACGGGCTATCACACCAAGATATGTGACAGAATCCCTTGTCATTTAAAAGGTTACTGTACATTTACGAACCACCTTTGATAACTTAGTGCTCCAGGTCCCAAAAACAACTGAGTTTATATTTGTGTAAGGCTGATACAAATGTTTTTTAGTGTCGTTTGTCAGCATGTACCTGCTTCTGTGGAGCCGCAGCCTGACTTGAATTGTTTTGTGACTGGATGAGTGGCAGAACTGAAGCCTTCTGTAACTGCAGAGCTGCAGCTGGCTGAGAGAGGTCTAAGTTGACTCCTGTGGGATGTTAAAAAGAGCACAGACTACACATTACTCAATAGCATGGAAAATGTTTCCAAACAATGTAAATATCAAGCTCCATAAACAGATTTATCAGAGCATTTGAGCTTATATTTACATTAAACAGTCTACAGATAGATAAATAGGTAGATAGACAGATAGATATCTCTATCTATATATCTCTCTATCTATATCTAGATCGATAGATCCTGTTAAATGCTGATAAAAGACATTAAGTGATTTTAACAGGTACAAAATTAACAGAAGCAGTGTTTCAGAGTGTGTTGAGAAATTCATTACATAATCACTGTGGGCTTGTGGTTAGATTGCATTAATTTGCATGAGTCTTAACCTGCATACTTGATCTGTTCCTGCTGAGGACTGTAGCATCCGATGTGTGCACAAAGGATTAGAGGAATTCTGTCTTTATGCACATCTTTGCTCAAAAGCTCAGTTTCTTTTTCCTGTAGCGGATAGAAGAAAAAGGACAGAGTGCTGTACGTACCAACAGGCTGAGCTGCACCACCAGGGAGATTAGCCCGCTTGCGAGGGGTGAGAGCAGCAGGCTGGATGGGAAGAATGCCAGCCGCAGGCTGGGTATGGGCTGCTTTGGGCCTCTGGCGAGGGGTGATGGAGGTTTCAGTGGTGGGAATTGGATCTGTCAGTCTGGCAACAAAGGGAGCATGTTGGCCCTCTTGTTAATCGTGGCAAATAGTGTTAATAATTATTTAATGAGTATCAGAATACTTACTGTGCTTAATTACTTCCACAAAATGTAGTGTTACTACAGCTTTAATGGTAATACAATGTAAGCAGGTCACGCTTGCCTGGACTTAGTCTGGCTCTTCTTTGCTGCAGCAGCCTCGCTCGCTTTGATTGGCTCAGGAAGTTTAGAAGGAATTGGAGAGTTCTGGATTATGGAAAAAAATACAAAATCTTTGTTGAATTTCCACAGAACAGCAGTATCAGTGACAATGGTACAAAGACAAAATTTGACAATGAATTGATTCTTGCAGATGGCAGTAATAAAGAATATCATCAGTGCCAAAAAGCATTTTCTATTGATGAATTAGCACTTATTTTCCTCCCAAAGTGTGACAACTGGTTGGTCAGGCAGAGGTCCTATAGCAGATATCACTGAATACAGACAGGAAAATCAATTCCTGATGAGAGAAAGCCAAGCAAATCAAAATATTTCAGCTGACGCTGTTGCTGAGAGAGACTGACCGTCACATTCTGAACAGGGCAGGTCCGCTGAGCTAGCTTGAAAGCAAAGTAGGACACCTGGTAGATATCTGGTCTTTTGTCTGGCTCTGGCTCCAGCATGTACCCTGAAAATACAGCACGAAGAAAAAACGGAGTGAGACTCAAAAAGTAGAGCGCTAGTCAACAGATATCCACACTTCAACCACAAGTGCACAACTTTGTGAAAAACTGAATTTGATGTTGTTGAGAACATTAATTAATGTTTAAGAAGGACTAACGAATGAGGCAGTGAAGATCATAAGAGTAGCGGGAGTTATCTGGTATGGTGAAACTGCCATCACAGATGGCCACCTGGCTTTCACCAAAGGGCAGAGTGAAGAAACACAACTTGTACAGCAAACAGCCCAGCGCCTGGAGAAGACAATCACATGCACGCCCCGTCGCACCAAACACAAACAAAGGCAGAAGAGAAGAGAAGAATACACAGTAATACACAGTTAAGTCACACAACAAATACATTTTCCCCTGTAAATACCAGCAGAAGCAACAGTTTAGGCTTTTGAGCTGTACAAATACAATTTTTAACTTTTAAGAATATATACATCTGCTACTTAACATGTCTAAAGACCTGAAGACCTGTTCTATTGACCGTGAGCTATTTTGTCAAATTTAGGTTTCACTATAAAACACCCAGTAACTGAATAATTGTATTAGTTTCACAAATTATACTAAAATCAAAACCTACTGTGTTTTACAGAAATGGAGGCTACAGGGTTTAGCTTTATATATAGTATGTGTTACTGCTCTACGAGCACCATATCAGGATTATCACAGACTTCTGTCCTCCTCACTCACCCAGACATCTGCTTTTGTGGTGATAAGCTTGTTGTTGTAGAGGTTCACCATCTCAGGGGCCCGATATGATAAAGTGGTGTACCTGAAAGTAAACATCAATAAATTAATCAGAATAGAACAGGACAAACTTAGAAGAAAAGCTACCCGTTTTTAATGTGGCAGTGAAGTAAAACAGCATGCACAGTAGTATGTGCTCAAAACTGTGCAGAAAGTAGTGTATTGCACACACATCAAAATATTTACAATACTGTGCAGAACCCTGCAGTCCGCACGTGGATGAAGTGAAAAACTCAGTCTATAAAAAAATAAAAGCTGCTCATGAATGAGGAACTGTTGATGGTTTCTGTGCAGCCATTCCTAAATGGAGTGCTAACGAATGAAAGCTGCTAGTATCGCCAAAGCGGATGAAAAGAGGCACAAACTTTTTGATCTCTTCCTCCACGGCGGCCACTCCTTCAGTCTGTGGGCTCTGGAACTTGTTAGTGGCGCTGCCAAAGTCACACAGCACATAATGACCCTTGTCATGCAGGAGGATGTTCTCCACCTGTGGACACACGGGAGATGAGACTCAGACAGGCATGTTCGTGTAGAGCTGCTTTGGTTGAAGACAACATGAAAGGACCCTATTTGGATCTTAAAGGTCCAGTGTGTAATATTTCTGAGGATCTATTGACGTCGCCACTTTGCGTCATCATGTTTCTACAGTAGCTGAGAATGGATAAACAGCGCTACAGAGCGTGTTTCGTCACTACATTCTTCTTGTTCTACTTTGGGTAGAATTCAGGCAGGCTAGACACTCATCACTATGTTAAATAGGTATGTTCAAAAAGAAGTAGTATAATATACAGCAGGGGTCTGCAAACAAGTTTTGCATCAGAGAAATATTATATAATATTTAATATATATAATATAATATACAAGACATAATTAGGGATGCACGGAATGTTCAGCCACCGAAATTAATCAGCCGAAAATAGCCAAAAAAGCACTTTCGGTGTTCGGTCTAATACGCCAAAAGGCCAAATAAATTTTACTGAACAATTACATTGACATGTTGGCAGTGTGGAAGCATTTTGAAGTGTCAGAGAAAGACGCAAATATTTATTTTTGCAAACAGTGTTCTGCTAAATTGTCTCCTAGCACATCCACTCCATCTGTGGCTGACTTCTTAGAAAAGGCAACAAACGGTCTGACTCGCTTTGAGTGTGCACGCGTATTCAAGCCTTTATGGTAAATCCACCAAAACGGACCAGTGCGAGCTGACAGGCAGGTTAGCAACTTTATACTGTCATTTTTTCTCTTTACAAAGACAAGTGTTGCAGTATGAGAGTCCAACTTGAAGAGAGGCTATGAAGTCTTTATGTTGCGCGAAACGAGAACCACATACAACATTATTTATCAAACTATCAACTCTTTTAATATCGTTCAGAATTGTTCAAAGTAAAAGCTCAGTTCAACTCCAAATACAGCATTACATTAAACAAGCTTCTTGCGCTTTTATTTTGTAGGCAAAACCACTAAAGAGGAAGTGATTATGTGAGTAACTGTTGGTGTCATGACAGTTCTATGTCAGCACCGCTCTCAAAAGTATTTATTTATTTATATTTTTTGCCACTATCAAAAGCACCATAATCTGGCTGTGGGCCAGATATTATTGCTGGCAGGAAGTTTTGATGAGGGTCCATAATCACAGAGAGAATTAATGCGTTTCCCTTGTCAATGTTTGTATAAACTTTATCTAATGTGTGGTTTATAATAGACTGTGGTGCAGAAACAGGGACAATGTTTCACACTCTTGGCTTACATTTTCCATGTTAACTGTCAGTGATCAAGTCGCAATAACATGGTTTTACTGAATAATTAAGTAAATATAATTTCTTAATAAATATACCTAAAAAAAAAATAATTTCTTGACTGGCAACTCTCTGATGTCTCTCCCTTTTGTGCTGTGTCAGCCACCGTAGCTGTCCTACGCACTTTGAAAGGGTAGGGGGCAGTGGTAGACTGGAATGTTGGTTGCAATTCACAACCCTCACCGCTAGATGCCACTAAATCTTACACACTGAACCTTTAAGTATTAAGAGGTGGTGCAGTAATTGACTCATTCTGCCTCCTTCAACATGTGCACACTCCTATCATGTTCATTTTCTTTTTTATACCTACCCCCCAAGAAATCTGCACTGCAATAAAAAGTCATGTTTCCATTTTTTGAGTGACAGTAACTTAAAATTAATGCGACAGCCACGCCGCAGTTGACTGGGCTCTGCAGAAATGGAAAGGTGTTTGAAGTATTTTGACAACTGACAATCTCCTCTCCCCTCCATTTAGAGCTTTCCATAATTAAAGGCAGCTTCAACTCACACAAACACATCAATCACGACTCTTCTGCCGACTTCACAGCGTGGTGATCTACAGTAGGTGTTGCCCCTGCGTTGACACAGAATGGGCTGTCTGTCCTATCCCATATCCCATTATACCCAGAACACAAGTGTCACCTTGAGGTCTCTGTGGATGATGGGTGTCTTGCGTTGGTGCAGGCGAGAAACAGCATCACAGGTGTCACAGAAGATCTGCAGCACCTCTGCCTCAGTGAAGCCAGTCTGCAGCCTCTGATTCATCAAATTGACCACCTGCCCCCCTGCAAAATAATATCCAGTTACGCAGCAGCACAAACAGAGGAAATTCTGATATTGTTCAGAGTCATTATGCAATAACAACTGATTCTTTTGTTTTTATCAGCGCAACCATACTGCCATGCTAATTATTTCTGAAACAGAAAGTCAAATTCTTTCAGTAACCAAACTATGTGGTTGCACCCACATCCCATTTCCCTTTCAGTGCTCACCCTTGCAGTAGTCCATTAGTATGAGAACCTCCCATACATCCCTTGATCCCATCGCCGTAATACTGGAGTCCAGATAACCAACAATATTCTTGTGGCCGACGAGGTCTTTCTGCAAGAACACAAACAGACATCCATGAGCGTTAACAAACCACCGCGCGTAAACTGTGTACTACTGCTAAGCTGTTGTACAGTGTGCGCATGCTGTGTGACCAGTGAAGTGAATGGTTGAATTTGATTTTCAGCTTTGAATGAATCAGAAAAGGCGCCACATACGTGACAAAATGATTTGCAACACAAAGAAAAAATTGAATATTTCCATATTTTGCTGCAAAGAGGTAATACGAATTTGAACGCCATAATCCTTTCATTTAATCTGGTCAGTGTTTTGGGATGCAGTGTGGCACCATCACCAGCAGAGGGAGCAGCAATGGAGAGCTGAACCTATTAGGTAATAAAAAAATGTCAGACACTGCAGCTGAGGTGAAGCACCGTCTGTCTGTGAGTTTATGAGTTTGTGAGAGAGAGAGCAAGACATTTTAGGATCTGCAAAACTAGGCCTGTCTGTACTGTATGTAATTCTGATGAATGTTTATATAATCAGCTGCTGTTTTTGTAGTTTGACCACCACTGCTTCCTTCCTTCCTTCCTTCGTGTTCCTAGACAGAAACCAACAAACTCTGTGTGAACTCAATGAATGCTGGAGTCCAGCTACAAAAAAAGCCTCAAAACTTACATATTCTACTGGCATACACTACCAGTTCTGTTCTGGCAAGAGGTGAGACAATACAGGGACTGCCTTCCTTTTTACCAGCATGTGATCCTTATGTACATTAAATTTATAGCAGGGACACTTTCAGCTTTATGTTATAATAATAATTATAATAATACAAGCAAGCAGACAGCATTTGTTATAACTGACAAAGAACCCTATAGGGAACAACTAGAGCTTCAGAACTAAAACTTTTTCCTTTAGCAATGCTGAATAAAATAACATTTTATCAAGAGATAGAAGGTCCTTTAAGAATTGTTGCACATACAAATAACCCCTACAACTCAATCTACAATACATCTCAGGAGGAGAGCAAAACATGTAAGGCAAAACTATGAAAACAAAAACAAAGCACACCAAGAACCAGATGAATAAATACTGTACAACCGTCCAAACAACCCTGCTGCAGTCTGTGCATGTACCAAATTCAGCGGTTGTTTTTAGTTACCCCGGACAGAATCGAGAACTTGAATCTGTGGATTTCTTGGAAATGTGCAGGCACAAGTAGAGTTTCGAATGGCATTTGTTTTGTAGTTGCCTTCACATGTGGTTTTTATAACCCTTCCCCCCCTCACAGAAAAGCACACGATACTCGGTGTGAGAACAAGCAGGGAAATATTTGATCTCAGCAACTCACCATTATTTGAATCTCGCGTTTGCACACCTGCAGATCGTGCTCATTGTTGACATACATCCTCTTCAGGGCACAACGCACCCCTTGATTTGTTCGCACCAGGAACACAATCGCAAAACCACCTGCAGCATCGAGAAAGAGACCAAATCAGAGAGATGATAGACATATCAGCAAAACCTTGACAGTGGGCAAAAACATGGACACACACTGAACCATTATTACCAGATTAAACTACAATAAATACAACACATATAAAACTTGGGTGAAACTTCAGCATTACACCATTCTCACTTGTTTTCATTGCATTATGATTTTGGAAATTTAGCTCACATGCTAATTTTTTAGAATTACTTAAACAACTGTTTATTTGTGTCTGTGAAGCCTTACATCAATACGGAAGATGAGGACCAAATGGTGCAGCCTTATAGGGTTATCTATTAATCATACCATTGCTGCAGGGTTTACGTAGAGACCTACATTGGGGCCTAACCATCTGGTATGGTTCTGACCACAAATTCACTTTGCCGAGTTTAGTTGCGACAGAGTCATCAATTTCAGGCAGACATTGCGGCTTATACTGCATCCTCAACTTGACATGTGTGCAATGGTATTGTGTGGCACTGTAGCACTATAAATCTGCAACAGATGCCTGTGCAGGTTGAGGCTGAGGGTTAGCATCCATTTCTGATGCAAATACTGAAGGAGCAGACATTCTGATCTGTTGTGCAACACTGTCGTCCATTATTTATATACTGGACACTGAATTTGAGAATTTTGACTAGCTGGCCGCACTGTTTAATACTTTTAGGTTGACAAAGTTACAGCAGTCCATGGTTTCGAAAAAAACCCAAAGCATGATGCTCAAAGAAACCATTTTACTTATTCAAAACACAAGAAACAAAAATATAAGAATAAGAAAAAGATTCTATTTATGGGTTTAAAATGGTGAATAATGTGACTTTGTTTTGGTCTACAGGCCTCTCCTTCAGCATCAGTAATTTGCTGCTGATGCCCAACAGTCTTAGAAACGTGCCTACTCCTAACAATCATGTGTGACCTACAGCTTGTACTGTATGCCAACCCTTCATTCATTCATTCATTCATTTTAAAGGGGACCAAATAATTGCTCAAACCCTGCCACACCAGGTAGGTCTCCATCTCTTTCAAATCACACTTCTGAATCATTAAACAGTTAACAGGAACCTGGTGTGGCAATCAGAGCAAAGCTGAGAGAAAGCAGTAGGCCTCTAAATTTGCATTTATGTGTCCAAGATCCATAAATGCATAGTGCCATCACTCCTGTGGGGATGGCATTAGGTTCCATCCCTGTTCCGTCATGTGACTCGTGCACTTGGCTTGAAGATGCAGGACCACACATGTACACCCTCGCGCTTCAGCAAAAAAAGGAGATAACAAACACATGGCACAACGTCTGGCCCGTGCAACCCCTCCTCACCTTCAGCAATGATCTCGTCAACAGTGACCTGGTGCCGCCCGACAGTGAAGGCTCTGCCAATGAAATTTCCGCCTGCATGACCGGACCCAGAGCTGCTACCTCCTCCTCCAGAACCAGGCCCGGAGCTCACCAACTCCCGACGAGAATCAAAGAACTTCCTCATGTTGTCGCAACGACAGGAGTATCGGCTTCAATCACAGACACGCGAGACAGACTGCTTGTTTCCTGTGCAGTGAATTATTGCACTGATAGATAATGGAGGATCGACTGTCAACCTAACGCATCCGACGCTTTGAGCAAGTCTTTTTTTTTTTTTTTTTTTGCAGCCTCAAAACATGCAGTGATGCCTTTGTCACTTATGATGTTGAGACAGCCCAGATTTTTGGTGGCAAATTACCCATTTGCTTGCCAACACAAGCCAGTTGGTGATAGCTAGAGCGGCTACGACTAGCTGTTATGTAAGTGAATAACACCACCCAGGAGGCTACAGCATCTCCGGAGAAAGTATTTCTTTAGCTATCCATCCAGCTGTTCATGGTCGGTTGAAGCTGATGATAACATTAGGTCCTCCTCCATCTCGTCCAGCCATTACCAAGCTAGCTAAGTGCTAGCTACTTACGCGCTATGACATTTCGTGTAAGGTTATCCAGGTTATCCTCTGAAGATAATGCCTTCGAGTGCGATGTATCCGACGTGTAACTTGTGTGATAGCGCTGCCCGAAAAAATCTTTCCATCCTCAGTCAAGTGAAAACAGCCGTTTGATGGCACATATCTGCCCGACTAGCTAACGTTATTGAACTGCCTGCACTTACGATTAAACTGTGATTTTTGGTAAGCTAACGCATTAGCGCGATGCAGCCTTTCCATCAACACACACGCAAGCGCAGCGTAGACGGGAAACTACAGCCTCCGTCTGTTGTAACTATAGCTGCGAATGACAAACCACGGAATTTGACATCTACCAACACATTAGGCAGATGTTTCAACACAGCAGCCTAATCGCTGCAACCACAGCAATCTTCGGCTACCAGCGATATCGCAACATCCAAGCAGTTGCTGTTGACGCGCGGACGGAACTATGGGAATTGTAGTTCAGAGCGCAGCTGCAGCCTCCCCTCCCCCTTGCGTATGTTGTCATCTGCCGCGTTCAAGTCATATCGCCGAGCAGCAGGGAAAACGAGCCGAGTTTTAAATGTTATGAACATTTTCCTCACTGTTGTTGGTTTCACATATTCTCTACAAATGTGTATCGCGATAAATGAACACAAACGGCTTTCTGTTTCTATTGTGTGACTATTTAACTGCCCTGGTTGTATTGTCTACTCTGTATGTCTTAGTCTTTAATCACATTTCTTGGTGTTTTGTTGTATACATTTTCCCCCTGTGTTTTGTGTCTCAGTGCCTGGTTCAAAAAGTATGCTGTTGGTATAGTGGTGGTGGAGGAAGTATTATTTCTATGACTTGTTCAACCAAATTGAACAAAATTATTAAAGTGATTTTTTGATTACCTTTTTTTAAAGTAGCAAAAAGAAATACACAAAGCATTACAGACTGTCTTTAAAACACAAATATCATTTGATTTACAAACCATATATATGGGCTGAATCTCCCTGGAATCAAAAGGGAGCCTACTGATAATTTGGGTTTACATAATGGGTATAGCCTACTATAGCAAGGAAAAGGACTCTTACTAAGCGATGGTTGTTGTCCGCTGGACCTACTATTAACAATTGGCTAGATGTGACAATGGAGATTTCTACACCGGGAAAAGTGCGTGCAATATGCCAAACCTCTGAGACCCGACTTTGTTAAGATAATGAATTAAAGGAACATTCAATTAATAGCTATTTCATACTTTGCACAGTACTGTAACTTATTTCCAATTGTGTAAGGCCAAACTGCTGCAAACATCTTTATTACACTCTTTCTTTTATGTCTGTCATAAAAATACCTCCCTCTCTGGTTGTAATTGACACTTTATAAGAATGCTGGGAATATCCATCTGTACTCACCGTACTGTTGGGTAGTTTAATTTATAACAAATTTTCAGATAATTGTAATGAAGTAAAAAGTAGGCTACAATATTTGGGATGTTTTGCCTTTACTGCAGTTCTGCCAATTTTTCGTGAATGCAGCTCGCGTGCGCGCTCTAGCGCGCATACTGAGTATAGGCCTAAATTGCTGGCAGGCCGGTAGGTGGGACCGTGGATGGAGGTGGGACATGAGAGCAGCTGTCAGTTAATAGGTTTTAGTTTCCTGGTACGCTGCTGCACTATACCCTCTTGTCGGGCTTCACGCTGAGTGAATTGTCTTCAGGACAGGTAAGGTGAAATTCAGAGTTCGGTTAGTCACGTTTTACGAGGTGTGGTATTTGATTAGCTCGGGTAGAGCTCATACTGGGGCGGTTGGTCTGCAGGGTGTGCCCACTAACTTCATGCTAAGTTCGCTGTCTGCCAGCCAAGTGCTCTTCTTCCTGAATCACTTTCATTTGCATTTTGTTAAATAAATGAAGCTGTCCTGAACATTATGATGTGTACGGCTTTAGGGAATACATCTCAGTTGCAATAATAACTTTGGAAACATAATTGTAGTGTAAAGTTTTTTTTCTCGGTTTTTTAATTTCACCGTACAGAGGAAAACCCTTTTTCTATTGTTGCTCAAGATCCAGGAGCCTCGCTGATGACGTTATAGGTTTGTGATCCAGTCACTTGCTCTCCAAGAAAAAAGCTGAATATATTGAATAATGCCACTAACAAGAAAACAGTTTGTAGTAAAAGTATCCAAGATATGCGTTTGACAGGTTTGTATAAATCACCACAAATGAGCCCTGAAATACACAATATACACATTTATGCAAATGTGAATTTGCCTACACTGTGTTGGTACTGCTGTGCTTAAAGGCGGGCAAGGCAATTTACTTCAGAATATTTTTTTGTTATATTTTCTCACTGCACATGAGGGAGGGCTGAGGGGGTCGGGTTTTTTTAGTTGGATACTTGTAGTTGGCTTGCTTGTTTTGCCAACATTGCTTACCCCTGCATTATCACCTGGTGCAAAGTGTGTGTCTGTGAGAGAGGTGTGTCTAGGAGTCACCTGCACTTTACATCACAAACCACTCAGGTGCGGCTGTTCACCTGCACACACAGTTCAGACCACTATGTGCGATTAGTAAATGTCTCCACTGTCAGATCCCAGGACAGGGGTCCTGTTTGTGGGGAAGGAGGAAGGAGGGAAATCTTGTCAATATACAAACATCTGGGCTGTGGACACACACATTATGCAGCACTGAGGCTTGTAAACTAAATAGTTTTAACTAAATGGATTTAGACAGATATATGATGACTACGTCAGTGGGTAAGTTGATCCCTGCTGGAATGGAAAACCACCACAGCCCTTACTCTAAGTGGAGTAATTACAGGTGTGTCCAAACAAACACTAGCTTAATGAGATTAGCCCCTGGGATGCCAGCACAGGCGTGTGACACAAGAGAGGCCCTGACCAAATGTGTGTGACGGAAAGCCTCTCCCTGATGATGAACTGCATACAATATTGATCAGAGGTCAATGACTATAGCACTCAAAACTGAAACCGTTTACTTCCCATTAACGTGGCGCTGCAGTTACTTTCTTGTATTTGTGTTATAAACACGTCCTTATGCAACTGACAAACTAGCGTATTTCTTTCTTTTGTAGCTTTCTGGACCTCCATTTTGGAAATCCTTACTCTTCCTACAATGGCAGCGGTAAGTCTGTCCCTCAGCTGTTGTTCCACCTGTGCACAGTGAAGAGGCAACAGTAAATGTACATTTATTTGCATCACTAGAAGAGACTCTGCTGTTTTGTTGTGCTAGGATTTGAGTAGGGTGGGCTGCAATATAAAGGCTTTTTATCTTTTATCACAATTGTTGCTGCGACCCATGACTTATTCTATACAAAACAAATATTGTAGTATGAAACTTTAATCAATATTGTTTTTAGGATGTTAGTCATGATACCACCTTGCAGTTCAATGTAATTTTTAGTAGTTCAGCCTTTATTTTTGCTATTATTATAAAATTGCTCAGTCCGAGTTGTGGAAAGGATTCTTCTCTCGAAAGGAGATTTCACAGTTCTTAAACTTTGTCCCACATTTTGAAATGATAAAAAGGTCTCTTTCTGACGCATGAATAGATTAATAACTGTGCAGTGTGGCAAACTTGCATTATATATGTTATTTATATAAAAAAAAAAGCTTGCCTGATGTGTTTTTTGACAAAAAAAACTTCAGTAGACTACTTAAATTCTTAAAAGCACATTGTGTCTTTCCTACTTATTTAAAAATCCAGAATCTATGGAATGCAAATTGTTCATTTTCACAGTCCGTTCTCCGTGTCCCCTGTGTTTCAAATTTCTACATCAAGCTTTTGTAAACACACGATTGGCTTCCATTACATTGAACATATACTTAAAGTATTAATAGCAGGATTTTACTGTTTTTGTTGTTGAGGTGGAGCTTATTTTTAACTGTTTGACTGCAGCTAATGATTATTTTCATTCTGGATTAATCCGTTGATTATTTTCTCCATTAATCGAAAATAGTGAAATATGTCATCACAATTACCCAGTGACACCTTCACAATTCTTGTTTTGTCCACCCAATAGTCCAACCTTATTTTTATAAATGTGTATATATATGGCATATAAATGATTAAAAAGGTGGTTTTAATAAGAACATCATTTATAAGCTCTTTGTATGTAAAGTTCTTAATTTGTAAAGTGACTACAGCTGTCAGACAAATATAGTGTGAAATAAAAGTGGTATGAAAAGAAAATGCTAAAGTAAAATACAAGTACCTAACATTTGTGCTTGAGTAAATGTACTTAGTTACATCCCACCACTGGAGTGGACTGTAAGCCTTGTGTTCGCTAATTTTATTTCTGTTTAATAGATTAATGGTTGTAATTGTGTCATTTATGACCAGATTGGAAACCGTGGCACAGTGACTGAGGCAGCTGGTTTTGACCCAGAGGCAGATGTCCAGACGCTTAGAAATGCCACAAAGGGAGCTGGTGAGTGATCCAGCCACTGTCCTCCAGAAACCGTTAGCCATTAGCCAAAGATATATTTCACTGTGTCATTAAGACTAGGCCCCCATGGAGGGAAAATGTAATTATAACTTTCTCAGACCTCTCTCCTCCTCTCCAGGAGAGTTGGAGAGCTAAATTCAGTGTTGCTCACTGCCCGTGTTGTTCTGCTGAGTGCATCCTTATACTTCACATCTACACATTGTGTTGTAAAGCTTCCTCTCCCCTCCTGTAATAGAGGAAAAATGAATCTGGACTTTGCTCATGCTGGAAGTAGCAGTACGCTAATCTCATTATGGGTTGCACACCATGTTGGCAGGTATGTACAACTCAAAGAGGTCCATCCTAACAGACACTCGCTTTTCACAATCCGCACATTAATCATGTGGAATGTTGAAGCTGTTAGGGGTTGCAAGCATAATCATCTTCCCCTGACTCTAGTTTTAGCTCCTTTGCAAATAGCTGGTTTCTGTGTCAATGCCAACAAACAGCGGTGTGTGTTAGGATCATCTCCAGGGTTACAGTGCTGCTGCCTGATTCTAGGTCCTAAAGATTTGGGCCGAACCATGGCTCTGAAATTGAGTTCCAAGAATAGGAATCCATACAATTTTAGATATTTGAGATTGATATTGGTTAAGTTTAGAAGATTTTGTATTATATTCTTTCTTGCAGGCACTGATGAGGCAACTATCATCAAGATCCTTGCACATCGTACGATCGCCCAGAGGCAGCGCATCAAAGAGGCCTACAAACAGATAGTGGGGAAGGTGAGAGGACAGAGCTGTACTCAAATGGCAGTAGACAAAGTCTATTTGTGAAAAAAATACATAAATAAAAATAAACCAACATGCATGAAGCAGAGGAAGCAGAGAAATGACAGCGTACCAGAAGAATTTGAAAAGCAGCCTTGATGGAGACTATCGGCAGCAGCTGGGGTTGTGTCATCTCTTAGCCTTTATTCCATTGTGTACTCTCTCATCATCTCTTCTCGTAGGGTGGGGTTTTGCTGTGCTA